GAGTTGAAGTCCAAAACACCTGGAGGACCAAAGTATGCCCATGCCTGATCTAGCATCACACTGTATAAGGAGAGCCTAGCTTTTCTCTGAAAACATCCATTCCACTTATCACTTAATAGATAGCTAAATCAAGACTGTTGCATTTTGGACACATCGTGAGAAGGCATGATGCCCTAGAAAAGGCAATAGTGCTTGGTAAGGTAGGACACCATAGAAAAAGAGGGAGGCAAACTCAAATCAAAAGGCGGCAGTCCAGATTCTGCAAGATCCAAGCAGGGCTGTGGAGGATAGAGAAATTTTGAGGTCTCTCATTCATCGGGTCACCATAAGTCAGTGACTTGATGGCAGTTAGCAGCAACAAGTCACTATGTGAGAATATATTCAGAGAGAAACTGAGCTGGAGATGCCCCGTGTTCAAAATGAGACACTCAATTTCAGAGACTCGACTACATGTGTCAGCTCAGCGTTATTAAGACGAAAACCTTCTAGGCTTCCAAGTAACATCAGAAAATAATCCATGCGTGCTGCAAAATTTTGTATGTATATATGGGTCTCCCACCCACGGACGTGCAAATCTCTGGTCTTTCCTTTGTAAACTATTAACATTCCTTTCCTTTCCTTTCTAAACTGTTAACTGAATGGCCATCTATCAGGAGAGCTCTAAATGTGATTTTCCTTCTTCTTGGCAGGGGGTTGGACTGGATGGCCCACAAGGCCACTTCCAAATCTATGATTCTATTATTCTGGGTCACTGTGACTTTTTCAGTTTGTATGGCCATGTTCCAGAAGCATTCTCTCCTGATGTTTTGCCCACATCCATGGCAGGCATCCTCAGAGGTTGAGGTATCTGTTGCCAACTACACAAGTGGGGTTTAGATATCTTTGGAATAATGTCCACAGTGGGAGAAAGAACTCTTGCCTGCTTGAGGCAAGTGTGAATGTTGCAATTGGCCACTTTGATTAGCCTTTCAGTTTCAATCGCCTGGCTGCCTCCTGCATGGGGGAATCCTTTGTTGGGAGGTATTAGCTGGCCCTGGTTGATTCTTTTCTGGAATTCCCCTGCTTTTTTAGTGTTGCTCTTTATTCATTGTCCTGATTTTGGAGTTTTTTTTTAATACTGGTAGCCAGATTTTGTTCATTTTTATGGTTTCCTCCTTTCTGTTGAAATTGTCCACATGTTTGTGGATCTTAAGGGCTTCTTTATGTAGACTAACATGGCAATTGTTAGAGTAATCCAGCATTTCTCAAATAATATGCTGTGTCCAGGTTGGTTCATCAGGTGCTCTGCTATGGCTGACTTCTCTGGTTGAGGTAGTCTGCAATGCCTTTCATGCTCCTTGATTCATGTTTGGGCTCTGTGTTTGGTGGTCCCTATGTAGACTTGTCCACAACTGCATGGCATACGGTAGACTCCTGCAGAGGTGAGAGGATCCCTCTTGTCCAGTGGTTCTCAACCTGGGGTTCCCAGATGTTTTTGGCCTTCAACTCCCAGAAATCCTAACAGCTTGTAAACTGGCTGGGATTTCTGGGAGTTGTAGGCCAAAACACCTGGGGACCCACAGGTTGAGAACCACTGCTCTAGTCCTTTGCTGAATGTAACATGTGTTGGATTTTCTTAGTGGGTCTGTAGATAGTTTGTAGGTTGTGTTTCTTCATCAGCTTCCCTATGCGGTCAGTGGTTCCCTTGATGTGTATGGTAAGAAAACTTTTCCTCTGAATGGATCTTTGTCTTTACTCTCGTAGCTAGTTCTCAGTCTTGCAAGTCTTCTGAATGTCTGTGGTGGAGTATCCTTTGGCCTGTAGAGCCCAGTTTAGACAGGTCAGTTCACCTTGGAGGAGGTGGGGTTCACAGATTTAACAACTGGGCCACACAGTTTACAGAAAACCTACACACACTGGTAGATACCTACATAAAAACTCCAACCAGATTCGTGTTTGAGTGATGCTGCATTTGGTGGTCCCTATGTGGACTTGTGATTCCGACCCTGAAAGCCTTGGACATGCCATGCCTTTTCAGTCCATCCAGACTGTTTTGTTTTGCCACTTCAGAATTTCTTCAGAGTTTACTCTGAGATTTAAGGCAGCTTTGGACTGCCAAAAAAGTTTGTCTGTGGGATTCCATAAATTTATCTGGCAGTCTTTCTGGCTGACCATCTGGAGAATATTTTAGGGAGGGGGGGGAGAGGAAGAGACAGACAGAGAAGAGGAGGAGGGAGAGAAGAGAAGGAGGGCCCTGCAGTCAGAACAGCCTTGATTCCACTCACACAGCACACGCACCAGACTTCCAGCTCCTTTTTTTGCAAAGGGCTCTCTCCCTCTGCAGGCCAACCCTGTGCCTGAGGTTGAGCAATGCTTTCTACACAACAGTCCACAACAGAGCCCAAAACAGTCGGACCTCAATGAAACTCCTGCTCTCCAAACACTGGTGAAATACATAAAAGCTGCCAGAAGAAGAAGAAAAAAGGAGGGAGTTGAAAGGGGCCCATTCAATGTTTGAGGAAGGTGATTGTCCTGCAAACTCACCCAACTTGGTGCTCTCGGTTTTGGCCATTATTCCTCTATCACAGGTATGGGCAAACTTTGGCCCTCCAGGTGTTTTGTACTTCAACTTCCACCATTCCTAACAGCCTCAGGCCCTTTCCTTAAGCAGCTGAGGGGGGAAAGGAAAGGACCTGAGGCTGTTAGGAATGGTGGGATGGTGGGAGTTGGAGTCTAAAACACCTGGAGAGCCAAGGTTTGCCCATTCCTACTGTATTAGATAATGGATAGGAAGAAGGGGAGGGTTGATGGATGCTGAAATCAAAAACATCTTAGGAGGGATACATCTGGACTCTGAAGAATGAATGCAGTTTGGCACCTCTTTGACAGCAATGTCCTAATGCTATGGAATTCTGGGATATGTAGTTTTGCAAAGTCTTGAGCCTTAAGAGCCATATTAGTATATTTGTCGATTTTTAACTGTGCTAATAGGCTTTTGATGGAAGCCGTTTTAAGTCTCCTTGATAGAGAAAACAGTGGGGTATAAAGGAGGAGGAGGAGGAGGAGGAGAAGAAGAAGAAGAAGAAGATTTTAAAGGTGCTGGTGCCACGCCAAATAACAATCCCTATCATTCCATAGCATTGAGACAAAGTAGTGTCAAACTGCATTAATTAAATCTACAGTGTAGATGCACCCTGAATCTATCCTTCTGGGATGTGTTCCTCTTCTTGTCCTTTCTCCTTAGGAAGAATGGATGTCTTTTCTAGTATGTGTTGTCAAAGGCTTTCATGGCTGGAATCACTGGGTTGCTGTGAGTTTTCCAGGCTGTATACAGCCATGTTCCAGAAGCATTCTTTCCTGACGTTTCACCCATATCTGTGGCAGGCATCATCAGAGGTTGTGAGGTCTGTTGGAAACTAGGCAAGTGAGGTTTATATATCTGTGAAATGTCCAGAATGGGAGAAAGAACTCTTGTCTGCTGTGTTGTGAGTTTTCCAGGCTGTTTGGCTATGTTTCAGAAACATTTTGGAATATGGCCATACAGCCTGGAAAACTCACAACAACCCAGTGATTCCGGCCATGTTTCAAGCAAGTGTGAATGTTGCAGTTGATCACCTTGAATAGCACTGAATAGTCTTGCAGCTTCAAGGCTTGGCTGCTTTCCACCTGGGGGAATCCTTTTATGGGAGATGATTAGCTGGCCCTGATTTATTCTTGTCTGGATTTCCCCTGAGTGTTCCTCTAGAGCTTTTTTTTAATACTGGTAGCCAGACTTTGTTCGTTTTCATGGTGCCATAGCAGAGCACTTGATGAACAACCTGGAGACAGCATATTATTTGAGAGTACAGAAATGCTGGACCACTCTAACAACCACCATGCCAGACAACACAGAGAAGGCACTGAAGTCCACACGCATGTGGACAATTTCAACGGAAACTTTGAACATGAACAAAATCTGGCTAGCAGTATTAAAAAGCTCTAAAATGAGGACAGTAAATAAGAGCTAACACCTCTCCAACAAAGGATTCCCCAGGCAGCAACCAGCCAGGCTTTGAAGCTGCAAGACCATTCAATGCTAATCAAGCTGTCCAGCTACAACATTCACACTTGCCTCCAACAGACAAGAGTTCTTTCTCCCACCCTGGACCTTCCCCAGATATAGAAACCTCACTTGCCTAGTTTCCAACAGACCTCACAACCTCTGAGGATGCCTGCCATAGATGCAGGCAAAACGTCAGGAGGGAATGCTTCTGGAACATGGCCATACAGTCCAGAAAACTCACTGCAACCCAGTGATTCAGGCCATGAAAGCTTTCTACAACACAAATCAATCAATCATCTATGAGGGACACCTCCTGGAGAAAGGGCCAGTTAACCCTTTGCAGAGACACAAAGCTCGAGGATGTATTGTTGAAGGCTTTCATGGCCGGATGCAGGCAAAACATCAGGAGAGAATGCTTCTGGAATGTGGCCAGACAGCTCGGAAAGCTCACAGCAACCCAGAATCACAGACTCATAGAGTTGGAAGAGACCTTGTGGGCCAGTCTAAGTAGCCAAGAAGCAGGAAAATGGCATGGCCATGATACAGCCCGGAAAACTCACTAGTGTGCCTTGCCACCTCCTGATGTGTCTAAAGGACAACAGCCTGGCTTTAGTTATCTCTCCTTAAGTACAGAGCCAACTCGACGCTGTGGAAGTGCTCCAAAGAGTTGGCCCCTTTTCTTCCTTGAGTCTCGGACGGAAGAAAAAAAGAGAGAGAGAGACTAGATCCCTTTCCAAAAACAACACAACACAACCTCGGTATCTGCAAGTCATCCGCGTTTCCTAAAGGAGGGAGAGAGACACACACACAACACACATCTGGAGTCAAGATCCCCAGCCTGGAATGCGGGGAAGTGGCCAGCCGGGGGTCCCGTTGTTTTCCCCCCTTTGCGATCCCATGACAACGGACCCCAGCTGTCCCCTTGGCATTCCCTTCCTCCCTCCTTTCCTTCCTTGTCCCCCTTTCTCCTCTTTCTTACCTGCAGTCTCTCCGTTGCCGGCTGCCACATATTTCTCCCGCGGGGACTCAAGGCTGTTGCGAACGGGGCGCGTTGGATGCGGCGGAGGCGGAGGGGCTCGGGCCGGGCGCGCTCACATCTGGGTCGGATCGGGACGAGCAGGAAGAGGAGGTCGAGGAGGAGGAGGAGGAGGAGGGAAAGGGAGAGAAGGAGGGAAGCCGCGCAGCCCAAAGCAGACTCCTGGCGAGAAGGAGGCGCGCTAGAGCTGCCTCCGTGCGCTGTCCTACTGCGCTGCGCTCCGCCTGAGGCCCCTCCGAGAGCGGCAGCACAGCAGCAAACGGGGAGGGAGGGGCGCCGCTAAGCACCGCCTTCTCCAGTCCCAGGCTCCGCCCACACCACCAAGCCACGCCCCCTGGTCAGTCCCCGCTCTTGTTTTGCCAAGAGGGAAGGTCGGCCCCAAGCTTCAAGCTCCGCCCCCTTTGACAAGCCCCGCCCTATCCCCCACCCCGAATTGTTTTGTACCTATTGGCCTCGAGGCTCTTGAGGGAGTCTCCTTGGGCCCTACTACACCAATTCTCTGCAAAATGTCCTCTGAAGCACTTCATTTTACCTGCACGGTCTGCCAAGGCTTTAATGGTGCTTCTTTTTTGACTTGGGTGATGGTTGGAGTTTTGCAGACCGTGCAAAAAGAATCAGCGAAGCCCACCTCCTTCAAGATGAACTGCACCGCCTCAACTGGACTCTACAGGCCAATGGAGACTCCACCTCAGACATCAGAAGAGCTGCAAGGCCAAGAACAAGCCACAAGAGTCAAAACGAAGATCCACCCAGAGGAAAAGTGTTCTTGCCATACATCAAGGGAACCACTGACCACATAGGGAAGCTGATGAGAAAACATACAAACTCAGTTCTTGTGGGTTTTTTCGGGCTATAGGGCCATGTTCTAGAGGCATTTCTCCTGACGTTTCGCCTGCATCTATGGCAAGCATCCTCAGAGGTGGGGTCCTCACCTCTGAGGATGCTTGCCATAGATGCAGGCGAAACGTCAGGAGAAATGCCTCTAGAACATGGCCATATAGCCCGAAAAAACCCACAAGAACATACAAACTATCTACAGAGCCACTAAGAAAATACAACACTAAGGAAATCCCACATTATCTGAGTGTGGACTCAGGGCCCTTCCACACAGCCTTCTGCCCCAGGATATCAAGGCAGACAATCCCACATTCTCAGAGTGTGGACTCGGATAACCCAGTTCAAAGTAAATATTTTGGGATTTTCTGCCTTGATATTCAGGTATATCGGACTTTGTGGAAGGGCCCCTTTTCTGGAGATTTTTAAGTCAAGCCTGGTTGACCATCTATTGCAAGCAAGGGCCAGCTTCAGCCCTCCAGGTGTTTTGGACATCAACTCCTACAATTCCTTACAGTCTACCCCCATCTTTTTGGCATAAAGGCACAGCAGGCTGTTCTGATAAGAAAACAGGGAAAATGAAGAGGGCCTGAGGTAAGCACCCAGGGGGCTACATCTGGCCCCCGGGCCTTAGTTTGCCTGTGCATGCTCTAAAGGTATCATATGATAAAACAGTAGAAGTGTACAGATATACAACTTTATAAAAACAGAACCTCAGGAGTCAAGTTTAAAACCCATAGAAGTCAGAGCAGATGCCAGCGGGAAGTTTGGATTACACGAACATGTTGTTTGTTGTTTATTTATTTATGTATTTATTTATTTATTTACAGTTCTTATATTCCGTCCTTCTCACCCCGCAGGGGACTCAGGGCGGATTACAGTAAACACATATATGGCAAACATTCAATGCCAGTTTGACAAACAACATTTAACAGACAAAGGCTATTTAACTTTTTTTTTTTCTGGCCGCCAGGGGAGCTGCTGCTTTTCATCGTCCATCAACGACACCGATGAAGTTCTTCCGCATTCCACATTCCCCGGAGTCTTCTTTCTTTATGGCCTCATAAATTAGTTAAATTTAGCCTCCCACACAAGGTGGTGCCTTATTTTCCTACTTGACAGATGCAACTGTCTTTCGGGTTGCAAAGGTCGACAACGGGCTACACAATGGCTGGACACCCACTCCAGCCCGGGCTGGCTTCGAACTCATGACATTTTGGTCAGAGTGATCTTAATGCAGCTGACACTCAGCCAGCTGCGCCACAATCCCGGTGTTTGTTTGTTCAGTCATTTCTGACTCTTTGTGACCTCATGGAACAGCCCACAGCAGAGATCCATGTCGGCTGTCGCTACCATCAAGGCAGTAGCTTCAAGGATACCATCCATCCACCCTGCCCTTGGTCGGTCCCTCTTCCTTTTTCTTTCTTTTTCCCCAGCATCATCATCTTCTCCAAGCTTTCCTGTCTTCTCATTATGTGGCCAAAGTACTTCACCTTTGCCTCTAATGTCCTTCCCTCCGGTGAGCATTTTTATTTTGTATCAAATGCTTTGCATAAATTAGTATAAAACTGATATAAATTGAAGGCTTCAGTTGTTTAAAAATCTTCCAGTATAGGGTTCACAAACTATAGTTTTACTTAATGTGGATGTTTTTCACCAGTCTTCACCGTTTCTGTCAAGGGAAGGAGGCACCACATACATTTTCTATTGCCGGATTTATCATGCAGTGACTGCAAATGGTACAGCTGGACCAGATTCCATAAAAAGGGTGTCCCATAATAAAAGACTTTGCAATTAGAACAAAGTAGGTGAAAAGTATTCATATATAAATGAAGTAAAAGTATACAAAAAACAAACATTATTTTCCATATTTAGAAAAACTGTCAGAATTAAAAAGGCCCAGTTTGAGAAGGTCCAGAAGTTCTACCTGAACATTAAGAAGAATTTCCTGACTGTGAGAGCTGTTCAGCAGTGGAACTCTCTACCCCAGAGTGTGATGGAGGCTCCTTCTTTGGAGGCTTTTAAACAGAGGCTGGATAGCCATCCATCAAGGGTGGTTTGAATTCAGTTTTTCTGCTTCTTGGCAGGGCGTTGGACTGGATGGCCAACTCTGTGATTCTATGACTTTACCTTAATGGTCAGCAACATAGACTGTAGTCTCAATTCAAGTGTTAATCCCATTGACCCATTGACTCAATTGGATTTACCTATGTGTTGACTAGCTTTTCAATTGGATGGATCTACTCTTCTTGGGAATAGCCAACTGGATGTATGGGACTCCTGTGTGAGCAATTGCATGTGTTGTTATTGTGTGCCTTCAAGTCATTTCCAGCCTAAGGTGACTAACGTCATGGGCTATTTCTTGGCAAGATTTGTTTTACGAGTTTTGCTATTGCCTTCCTCTGAGGTTGAGAGAGTGTGATTTGCCTGAACTTGGATCTGAACCCTGGTCTCCAGAGTCATTCTCCAACACTCAGACCACTAAACCAGGCTGGCTGTGGTGTTAGCAAGCATAGCAGGAATGAAGAAAAGACAGAACTGACATATCCCAATATTTCATTTCTTTCTTCTTCTTTTTTTCATAACACTTTGGAAAGAATATATGTCGCTCTGTGGATTTTGCAGTGATTCCTTGCTTGTCCTAACCTTTTCAAATCCAGGCTTTTCATCAGTCTGAGCACGTCTTAATGTTCCCACTGTTTGTAATGTAGCCTAGGTGCTATATTTTGTTTATTGCCTTCTCTTTCTCTCTCTTTCTTGCCTGTGCTGTGTAGAAAGTGTTTAAATCATTTCTCCTTAGCTCGCTGTTTCCAGCCTCATTAATGCAGATATTGGGGGAAGAGATAGTGTAATACACCATTTAACACTTTGTAATATTACCACCCTTTTAATTCTTGCATTGTAAAAAAAAAGCGTTTTGTCCTAGGTTTGCTGACTTCTGTATTAAATTATATGGAAATATTTTTAGAGGAAGGAACAGGCAAAACCACCTGTGAGTATTCCTCACTGGAAAAAACCTATGAAATTCATGGGGTCACCACAATGTGGACAAGTGACCTGGAGACTGCATCTACAACATAGACTCCAGATCATCATCCAGATTTTCTTAAACTGGATCAATCTGGTTTACCCTGCAATACCTATCACCTGTGGAGGAACGTTGTGAAGACAGCCAAGACTGAATGCATGGTAAGTATGGGTTATTAGCCCCAAGTAGACAATTCAGTTTGACACCACTTCAACTGCTATGGCCCAATGCTGTGGGGTCATGGGACCTGTAGTTCTGTAAGGTCTTCAGTCTTCTCTGCCAAAGAGTGCGGATGCCTCACCAAACTACAAATCCCATGATTCCATAGCTGTTAAAGTGGTGTCAAGCTGCCTTAATTCCACAGTGTCAATGCTGACATACACAGACACACATTGAAGAAAGGGAGGCCAACCATGAATGATGGAATACAGAACATAGAAAGGTTGATTTGTATTGTGTCAGATCCAACCAGTCCATATTTTGCTTAAGTGGCTGGTTGGGGGGGGGGGGGAGGAAGGGGCCTGAAGCTATTCGGAATTGTGGGAGTTGAAGTACAAAACAACTGGAGGGCCAAAATTTGCCCTGCCTGTACTAGACCTATATTTTGCCTAATTTAGACTAAAACTCAGGGTGCATCTACACTATAGAATTAACGCAGTTTGACTTGAATTGCCATGGCCCAATGCTATGGATTTGTAATTTTACAAGGTCTTTTGTTTTCTCTGTCAAAGAGTGCTGGTTCTGTTGGCTCAACAAACTGCAAATCCCATTATTCCATAGCATTGAGTCATGGCAGGTAATGTGGTGTCAAACCGCATTAAGTCTGCAGACCAGATGCATCCCCTGAATGGATTCACTTCATCTGGCATTGTCACTTCTTTCTTTTGTGTGCCTCTTTTGTGTGCACTTCTTTCTTTCTGTGCCTCTTTTGACACACTTATCTCCTCTTTCTTTTTCTCTCTCTCCCTCTCCCCTCTCTTTTTCTTCCACTCTTTCTTTTCTGTGCCTCTCCTATTCCATTCCATTTACTGGGCTACTAGAAAGGGAACCAGTCACACAGTATTTGAAGTTTAACCTACTCCCCCTACTTGCACTTAACTATTAAGTTTTGGCCCCTATGATTTCCATCCATAAGGAAGGTTGAGCAAAGGAAGATAGACACCTTTGAATTGTGGTGTTGGAGGAAAATTCTGAGAGTGCCTTGGACCGTGAGAAGAGCAGTCCAGTCCATACTCCAGGAAATAAAGCCTGACTGCTCACTGGATGGAAGGATATTGGAGGCAAAGATGAAATACTTTGGCCACATCATCAGAACACAGGAAAGCTTGGAGATGACAATGATGCTGGGGAAAATGGAAGGAAAAAGGAAGAGGGGCCAACCAAGGGCAAGATGGATGGATGGTA